GGATAAAAAAAACGAGTGCCTTAACCCCAACAACAACAAGAAGACCAAAAAAACGGCGGAAAGCTCGGCCGGAAACCACCATTGCAAGGAGGAAAACGAGAGCGTTATGGATAACTCAAGCTCCCCGGCGAAGACGGAGAACAGTAGCTCTGTGAACACGGACGAGTCGCTTCTTTTAGACAACCTCATAAACACTAGTTTCTGGATTGAAGAAGAAGCTCTTTGGAACAACAACGACAACAACAACCACCCAAGTGGATATGGAGGCAATTTTTCATGGGAAGAGAATTGGTCTTGGCTGCATGAGTGTGAGGATTTTGGTATCCATGATTTCGGTTTTGACTGTTTCAATGATTTTGAATTAAACGCCATCAACACAACAGAAACGGAAGGAAAGCACTAGAAAATAAAACAACATAAACAAAACATCATAAGGAAGATTAAATTTCTTGTTTTTTGTTTTTGTTTTTGTTTTTTTTTAAAAAAAGAAGTATTTAATGTGGACATGTTACGAAGTACCATGTACATGAAGTGTTTATTGTTGGGTAATTTAGTAAAGGAGGTTAATATGTACAAATTTCAAGACAAAAGAGTAGAGTGACATCAAAACATGTCCCTTTTAACAAACATTATTGTAAGTTTGTGTAATCTTTATAGAAAGAGAGGTTCATATTTGTCTATATTACCATCCTTTCCTATTAAACTCCTTTCTATATCTTTTATTTATTCCATCGATAATAAGCCACTCGAGCTCTCGAACGAAAACACCTAACAAAGTAATCTCTTATCGTGTACTTACCCTAGCATACTTAAATCATTAGTCTCTATACAAACTTTGTGCTTCTTGAAATGAAATCAGATAGCTAAGAGGGCAGAAGGAATATGCCTTCTTATCTGCTTTTTGCATCACTAACTTTATTGTACTTTCCACAGAATATAATTTCAATTTCCTCTTCTCTTTTCCATATTCTAATATTTTCTTAACCTACCAAAAAAGGACCATAATTAGACTTATTTTTCTATTTCTTGCATGATTAACATGTAAAACGATATTGGATTTTCTTATATTTACGGGACGAATAAGCATGTCGTTTGTTTAAAATAAAACTAGAGATAATATACTTAACTCACCAACATTACAATTAAAAAAGATCATATTTTTATTTATAAAGAAGCAGGGGTAAAGATTTTTTGAATTGGTCTCTCATCGTAACTGGAATCGTGACCTAAAAAAACACAATGATTAGCCAGTGGGAATGTAATTAATAATTGCTAAACCTTTTTTATTTTTAATTGAATTCTTTTAAAATATGCAATGGCTCAACGTTTAGTGATCGAGTAAGGGCCAAATTGGCCGAATTTAGTTGCTTTTTTGAAAAGTAGCCAAACCCAATTCATATAATATAGGCAAGAAGAGTGGATTTTTTTTTGGAAGATCCGATCCAATTAGATGGTCCTCCTAATGGGCTTGGGCCTTTCCTAAATGGTTACGAACATATATGGTCCAAATCTAACATCTAAATGGGCTTGGGCTTGGGCCTTGACTTCTAGAAATTCAGAAGATGCGACTGAAACCTTCTTGAATTATTTAGACAAGACATTATTTATTATTATTATTAAAAAAATCAAATCCTCATCACTCCAACCGAGACAGCTTTTGGAATTATTAACATTATATTTATTATTCACTTTATTCCCATTATTGTCTTCCCTTAATGATGTTATTAAGTTAGGTCCCTGTTGGAGAATTATGTACATAATTAAAATGTTATAAATTTAAGTTCAAAATAGTAACATTAAAAATTGTTAGTATGGCTGCGTGCACACTGGTCAAAATCAGAACAAGAGAGAAAATTAAAAAAATAATATTGGTTAATTAAGTAATTATTAATAATTAAAATTTAAATATTACAAAATAATTAGTTAATTAAGTAATTATTGCAGTAGAGTTGGAACTTGAGAATTGAGACGGTGGTGTGGAAATATAATCGTCTACTCCTCCTCCTCTCTCTATTCCTGATTCCATCATGGAACCCACTTTCAATTTCCTTCAATCTCTCAATTCCTTGTTTCCATGGCACTCCGGCCACAATTACCCCTTCATTTTCACTCTCCTTGCCGGTTTTCTCGTTCTTTTGTCTTTCAGATCCCGGCGCCGGCGCTTGCAGCTTCCACCCGGACCCCCCGGCGTTCCTCTGCTTGGAAATCTACCGTTTCTAGATCCAGAGCTTCACACTTACTTCACCGAATTGGCCCGAAAATACGGTCCAATTGTAAAGCTCCAACTCGGTTCAAAGATCGGTATAATCATCAACTCGCCCTCTGTCGCACGTGAGGTGTTGAAGGACCACGATATCACGTTCGCCAACCACGACGTTCCTCGCGCAGCCAGAGCCGCCACATACGGCGGTTACGACATAGTTTGGAGTCCTTACGGACCCGAGTGGCGGATGATGAGAAAAGTTTGTACCATCAAGATGCTCAGTAACGCTAGTTTGGACTCTGTCTACGAGCTCCGCCGTAGAGAGGTCAGAAACACCGTTGCTCACCTATACCGGCGAGCCGGGTCGGCGGTGAACATAGGAGAGCAGGGGTTTTTGACGGTTTTCAACATCGTGACGAGTATGTTGTGGGGTGGGTCGGTGGACGGGGACGAAAGGGACGGGATTGCGGCTGAGTTCAGAGAGCTAATTTCGGACATAACTTTGCTGTTGGGTAAGCCTAATGTGTCGGACTTTTTCCCGAGCTTGGCTCGTTTCGATCTCCAAGGCATCGAGAAACAAATGCTTAATCTCGCACCAAAATTGGACAACATCTTCGAAAAGATGATCAATCAACGACTGAGAATGGCCGATGCGGACGAGAAGCAGAACAAAAACGATTTCTTGCAATTCTTACTTCAGATCAAAGATGAAGGCGATTCCAAAACGCCTCTCACCATGGTTCAAATCAAAGGCGTGCTCATGGTAATTATTTTCTTGATTTTGAGAGGAAAAAAACAATTTCAAAGAAGAATTTATTTTAATGAAATTGAATTTGCGGACAGGACATGGTGGTAGGTGGAACAGACACATCCTCAAACACCATTGAGTTCGCAATGGCAGAGATGATGAAGAACCCAAATGTTCTAAAGAAAGTGCAAGAAGAATTAGCCGTCGTGATCGGAGACGAGAACATCGTAGAAGAGTCCCATATTGAGAGTCTGCCATATCTGAAAGCCGTAGTGAAAGAAACGTTGCGTCTGCATCCAGTGTTGCCGCTGCTAGTGCCGCACTGTCCGAGCGAGAGCACCATGATATCTAATTACACAATCCCAAAGGGGTGTCGAGTTTTCATCAACGTCTGGGCCATTCAGCGAGACCCCAATCAATGGAAAGACCCATTGGAGTTTGAGCCGGAGAGATTCTTGAATCATAAGATGGATTTCAACGGGAGTGACTTTCGATTCATTCCATTTGGATCAGGGAGAAGAAACTGCGCAGGGACAGGGTTGGCGGAAAGAATGATCATGTATTTGCTTGCGACGTTTCTGCACTCGTTTGATTGGAAACTGAAAGAGGGTGAGGAATTGAAGACCGACGACAAATTTGGGATTGTTTTGAAGATGAAGACTCCTCTGGTTGCCATCTGCACTCCCAGGCTCTCTCACCCCACTCTGTATCAGTAACTATAATAATAAAATAATGTAATTGAATCTCTCTTACAGTGCCTTAACACTAAATATCGGTTTCAAATAATTTTTTATTTCTTATTTTATTCCGTTTATTTATTATGGCCACGACAGAATATTGCAACCAACCGACACGTTTCTTAAAATTTATTAAACAAAAGTCCAACCTAATATCCCTTTTTGTTCATAACTTAAATGAATTACAGTTAAAATTAATTGCTACTTCTTACATAACTTAAAATGATTTTTTTTTTTTTTCACAAATGGAGATTAAAATATGATAAATTCTTTTTAGTTTACAAAGTGTGAAGGTTTGAAATTTGAACCTTAAATTATATATTTTTTTAAAAAATATCTTATATATTTCCTTGATTTATTGTTTATATTTTACTTACCAAAATTTTGAAAAGTAAGAAATCTTAGTTTTTTTTTTTTTTTTTTTTTTAAAAAAA